AACGTTGGAAGCTCTGTCTGACGCGTCTGCCTCCGCGACCCGAAAGGAGAAGCGGCGATGGAAGATGAAGTTTTCAAAGCAACTAGGCATGTGCAAAATTAATATACGACTCAAACTGAACTTTCTTAATTTTTCTTCTGGAATATCGTGTGTTCTTAAAAGTATGAGTTTTGCTGTCTGAGAGAATGCTAATAAGCGGAAAATACCTCTAATAAACAGAGTTTCGTAATGCCATGAAACTGCAACTTCCCACTGCCAAATAATTAGGATGTTGTTTAAACAGACCGTGACTGGGAAATAGTTTAGGAACCTCCACACACCAAAGTCTGAACAAAGGGCGGTCTCGCTTTCGTAAAGTAATTGAAAAACTATTGATGCAGATAAAGGGTGACGAAATTCTAAGCACAATACAAAATTTTAATTGGCTACGAGTGGCTTTACTGCAGTAACTTACTGGTCGATTGTCGCCAATTCCCTCAAAGTATGCGCTAAAATATAAAGCCCTCCTTAAGGCATCAAGCCAAATACAAATTTCTGTTAATATTTCAAGCTACTTATAATTGTGCCGTACCATCACTTCATGCAGAACAGAGCGAGTGCTCTCGTTCATTTTGTCGAATTCATCAATGCAGCAGACACCGTTGTCGCTGAGAACCAATGCTCCGCTAAAAAGACATGAAACAACGAGTGTTACAATGTGAGCGAATGTTAGCCTCAGCAGCGTTTACGTCTGAAGCACGAAATGCTTTGTCTCTGGATCCCTCGTAATGTATGCTGTCAAGCCGACCGCCGAAGACCCTTGTCCAGATGTGTACTGGCCTCGAGGTACTAGATGATGAATATACTGCAGTAGCTGGGATTTACTGGTACCGGGATCGCCGCAGAGCAAAATGTTCAATTCCGACCTACAATACGAATCGCGAATGTCAAATTTCAAACAATGCAACACCATAGACCGTACCGCCAGTGACCATGGGACGAATCAGCAGAGGTTTTCTTACTCCCACCGAACAGTTGACACAAAATTCCTTTCTTTATATCCTGGTGTTCGTATATACTTGGCGCTAAACGAGATGTGCTACATGTTCCAACTTTAAATGGAATAAAAGTAAATATAAAACTAAACTAGTAAACTAGTATATACTGGCACAATAAATTACAGAAAAATAATTAAATTACAGAAAAATTGGATAAACTTATAATTATATATTTCTACGCAGGGGTTAGCAGTCATATCAACTGAAAAACCGAATTAACAGACTTGCAACAACAACACAAAACTAATCCCGTTCGTAACAAAGTCAAAGAAATTTTCGAATATGCATTACTTATCCATGGACTGAATTGCAAATTCGAGTGGTGAATTTTAACACGGCAAACAGTAGAAAATGATATTTATATTATAAAACAGTATATAGGCTTTCAT